CCCTTCCTTGCTCTCTCTCTCTTTTCTTTTTTTTTTTTTTTAACTAATTGTATTGACTTCAGAGAGAGGAAGGGAGAGGGAAAGAGAGAGAAAAACATTAATGATGAGAAAGAATCAGTGACTGGCCACCTCCTGTACACCCCCCCCCCCAACCCCCGTGGGGATCAAGCCTGCAACCCGGACATGTGCTCTGACTGGGAATCGAACCATGACCTCCTGGTTCATAGGTCGACGCTCAACCACGGAGCCACGCCGGCTGGGCCCCCTGCTCTCTTTAGCAGGAAACCCTGGAGAAGCCCAGGCAGCTCTCTGCCTGACCCAAGGTCCCCTCCACCCCCACATTTCCCTAACACACGTGCTTTTCTCCCCAAGGGACATTCTCCGGGTTGGGGTCACCTTGGCCGGCCACCAGAAAAAAATCCTGAACAGTATCCAGGTGATGCGGGCACAGATGAACCAGATCCAGTCTGTGGAGGTTTGACGTTCGCCTGCCTCGGCTCACCTCTTCCTCCAGGCCCTGCCCCCTCCACCCCACATGCTGGCCTCCCTGGTTCTCTGTCTACCGAAGGGTCAGCCACCTGCCAGGAGGCCACGGCAACAGGAAGAACCAAGCAGCCCGCCAGCCATGAGACGTCACCAAGAGCACGTGCAACTCAGATGATGGGAAAAAAGGGAACAGGGACAAAAGAAAACAGATCCTGGGAGGGGGCGGGAAATACAAGGAATATTTTTTAAAGAGGATTCTCATAAGGAAAGCGATCATTGTTCTTGGGGGAAAAGAAAAAGGGCTTGGGAGATTCATGCGACGGTCCAATTGGAGCTCAAAAGCAGTTTCTCTCCAACTCCCTCTGGGAAGGCGACCTGGCCGGAGCCAAGAAACACTTTCAGGAAAACAAATGTGAAAGGGAGAGACCAGGGTCACTCTTCTCTCCCGCCCCCAGGCTGCTCTTCCAGGCCTCGCTCAACAGCCACGTGCCAGGAGGACAGACGGGCAGCCACCTGGGAGCCACTCCGGGAATATCCATTCCTACTGCCACTGGGCAAACAGAAGAATCCTTCTGTCTTTGGAGAATATTTTAGAAACTCCAATGAAAAAGACGTGTTTCTCCGCTTGGCTTATGGGGCTGAAAAGGGACTCTTGTCTTCCTGGGTCAGGGAGAACACAGGGACCCGGGAAGGTCAGCCGCCCTGAGGCTGCCACCCCCCAGGTCTGCAGCTCCACGTCCATTATCACGTGCACAGCCGGCCGCCCGGCCCACCGGGCGCCCACTCCCGACAGCCCCCACATGGAGGACTGGTGCTGCAGTGACCACCATCAGCTACAACTGCCACTGAGGACGGTTGTGCCTGCGTCTGGGTTTGTTTACAGCGATTCGTGGACTGGGGGGCATATTTTGGTCAGGGGTGAGTTTGGTTTAGGGGTTTGTTTGTTGGTTGTTGTTTTGTTTTTTTTTAATGACAATGAAGTGACACTTTGACATTTCCTACCTTTTGAGGACTTTGATCCTTCTCCAGGAAGAAGGTGCTTTCAGCTTAATGACTTAGGCAATACACCAAGGGCGAGATTTTATATGCACATAT